ATTTAATTAAAATGCCAATGCAAGAGAGGGCAATTAATAATAAACACACACAATAGAAGATTATAAAAATATGTTTCTAATTCATGGGACTCTTTTAATTTTGACTCACAAAGTTTACCAGATGTCCAAAGTAAAAGGATAAGTTCAGTTATTGATGATGTGACACATTTATTTTCAGATTCAAGTACCAAAAATATGTACCTGCATATACAAAGTGCGTATATCATATAGGTGTTGTATGCTCTTAATCCACAATTTTTCAAGCAAACAATTTAGGTGTGTCATCGAGTGGATCAGCTAAATACAGTGTCTGCTGTTGATGGTAATGATATTGACCTAGAGATGTATTTGATAGTAACCTGAGATAACTGATATAATATTTTAATTCATTTGATAGTAATCCGACATCCAGCTACATTTAAAGTTTCTTGGTGACACTGACACAATGTATTTTAAAACATATCACAGATAAACTAGAAACAGCAATTTGAGTGTAAATAAAATTGAAACACAAAAACAGACAGTTTAGAAGAATGTTATAAAAAAAACCCCTGTAAATTGCATTAAGGGTTAAGAATTGAAGTAGATAAATTTAATTGGCAGAGAGGTTAGAACACCATAATCCAGCTTCTAATTGAGGGTGAGTGATGAAATTTGGTGTAATGTTTCATTACATCAATACTTTGACTAATTAAGTTGGATAATGAACATTTTCTGCTTAGGTTAGGCAGAGAGAGAAACAATGTAATTGCTAGATGCTTGAAAAAGATAAATGTGGAAGTAATTAATGACCCTCATCTATTTATTGTGAGATTGAGGTTTGGGACATCAGCCTCACTGTTGGTTTGTTTATATAATATTTTTTTTTACAAATTTAGAATAGACATGAATGTCATTTCATATTTTCTAAAAAAAACAAAACGAACCAATTAGTTATATTATCTCTCAGTTTAATTATTCTTCAATGGTTTCAGCGTTTTAAAGATGCCTTCCAATGTACACACTGGGTGATTTGATGATGTATTTGGACTAAAAACATATTCAAACTATTTAATCAATCAAAATTTGCTTCAAATTCCTCTCAAAACATTGTATTCGTGATGAAATACTCCAAGCCATGTTATAGCCCGTTCAGACGCTTAAATTGAACTGGTTTAAAAACCCTGGGAATCGTTAAACCAGTTTAACTTTGTCATCTAAACGCAAATGTGGGGCAAATAAACCAGTTAAAAACCCCAGCTCGCGACCCGTCTTCGAGAAGGCTTTTTATTTTAAACTGGTTCATCTTGGCCGTCTGAACACGTTTACTTAAAACACCCGGCTCCAGCTCGCTTTGAGCATGCGCAGTATGCAGTAAGTTACATTCCTGGGCAAATATCGGGGTCAGGCAGTGCCAGTGTTATCGAAAGCCTGCGAGCCAAATAAAGAATATGAAGCTACCCATGCATAGTTAACGCTAACCTCCGACCGAAGAGGTCAAAATAGTTAAAGTGGTTTGGCTTACAGTACGTATGAATGCAACACGATCCTGTCTTAAAAACCCTGGCGATTTTGAACTGGTTTAAAAATAAGTGTCTGAACGGTATATTTGTCACATGATTTGACAGTCTCGGAAACAAGCCAAACTTAGTGAGAATTCATTGCTTGTAAAAGACAATGTTGTCTTTAATCGCTGTCCATTTACCAAAGTAAATTCTGGGATTATCCCCCCTGCCCACTTCTTTTATGGCAGTTTGGTCTCTGAATCTGTTGTACGTAAGTCTCTCACTTTTTCCACGTCCACTCGCCATCATGTTTATCAACATATACATAAGTGCTTCCTAATGCAAGGAGGTCAGACAATCTGCACATGCAACCTTTGATGTCACTCGAGCAGACAGCCCTAATTATCGGACTGACAATTTTTGACACCCTCTCATTTTTGTCTTGTACGCACACCATGGGTGTTTTTCAGGGAATCCAGTATTTGTCTAGTATGGGTGTCTTTACTATCCATATTACCAAAATTGCCATACTTTTATTGGAAATAATCACCTGATAAATACTTTTATTGGAAATAATCACCTGATAAATACTTTTATTGGAAATAATCACCTGATAAATACTTTTCTGGAAATGCATCTTTGAAGAGAAAATGTTGCTCATGTGATGAACACAACTGATTCCAGTAAATTATACATAGACTATATCAAACTGCACGCAGCGATGCATCTACGTCATACTTCGAGATAATGATCACTGCCCTAGTTAGCCTCCATTTAAAATGCTCATGTGATCATTTGGGGCGGGACTTATTGACTGGACGACTACTTTGTGTACACAATGCAGAGTAAAAATAACCCGATCAAGCACGTGTTTTGTTTTATGTAAACACGTGTCATTAGCAAAGTGTCAACTTCTGCCACTCAGGTAAATGCGATATATAATATGTGCTAGTGGGTAGTATTGCAATACATTCTTTGCCATTGTAAACTGTCTTTAGAGTTTCAATCTGTTTATCTTTCAAAACAAGGTTATATACTCCTAAATTTGTCTTTGCAAACAAAACCGCCTCTGTGAAATTATCTGTCATGGGCGCCGCCATCGTGAATAATTAGAGGACTATTTTGTGATGCAGCTTTGATTAGTTTGACATATTTCATACACACAGCGGCTAAGTAAACATATTTAATTTCATTCAATATGACAATAGAAGAGAAATTAGCTTAATTAGCTTAGGGCCTGTCTTCAGGCGGAGCTAGCTGTAGACAGGCAGCCTAAGTTTGGGATGAGACTATATTTCTGGACACTATTTTGAGAGATTTGAATGGTTGAATAAACCTGACAATGAGCTGTGGACATCACCATTTGAGATGTAATATTTACATGTCTAATTTATTTAGATATGAGGGAACCACGGTGGTTAGGTGGTTAAGATGCTGGCTCGTTAGCCTAGAGGTCGGGTGTTCGATCCCTGCATTGGCCGAGAAAGTTCATCAGGATTTTCCGACTTGGTTTCCCCTTGTCAGTGGTGCAGAACGGAGAGCCTGACAAGGACAGCTGTCTAGTCCTTCGGATGATACGAAAAACTGAGGTCCCGTGTATACATTGGAATGCACGTAAAAGATCCCTTGGCAGTTGGAATTTGATTTAAGAGTAGGTGATAGTGTCGCTGCCCGGGCAAAATTTCCCTCATAGCACACTGTATGGCGTATGCCCGTCTTCATTAGCCCAGTATAGGAGCAGAACAGTAGGACGTTAAACCCCATTTCATTTCATTTCATTTATTTAGATATGAATGTGTAAATTCTTCGTAATGCTTAAAACTTGTGTCAAACAGATGAAAACAAGCATAGATGGTGTGAAAATAATTGTTATTAAAAACAGAATGTGAATTGACAGGATTTTGGCTGTATTTATTTGTAGTTAATTTTTACATCACAACCATTTTGAAAAGGAATAATTAAATATATATGTGAGGTTGTATATGAGTATTGTGGTTTGAAATCAGTTTTAAAGTAAAAATTTAGTCCACCTGTCGCAAGTGGCATGTAGTTTTAGTTACTACCTGTCTGCAATGGCCGAACATTTCGAGCCCTGTCCATGCACAAATGATATGTGGAGGGCAAAAGAATGATGAATTGCCTAACTAATTTACTTTACTCAACCCAAAATAATGAATTCCAAATTATTTATTGATTATTGTATCTATGTCGGATAACCACCAAATTCCAAAAAACACTGGATATTGTCCTTTAATCTTTACACAAAATGAGATATTGCAACATGAAAACCTGCAATATAGCATCATTTTAAAATCAAAGATTTAAATTGAGCAAATCCAGTTGATTTTGTTACTACAGCTTTGTTTGCGGGGTGATTTAATCTATATTTAAATAAATACAGTATTAATAAATATTCTATATTGTAATAATGATAATGTCTGGAACAATATGAAGGTCTAATTCAGAATTTGATATGTAAATGTCTCAGTTTTAATACCCGGATTCTCTCATCTAATATATTCCTCAGGTGTTACTGTCACTTTGATTTGGTGTACAATTTCTCATGGGTATAGATGTGCCTTCTGGTCATTGTTAGTAAGCATCATTGATACAATTAACGTGTGCTATTTTTCCACAGAAATTGCAGGGAGGGAACATTTTGTTGTCTGCTTCCAATAGTTGCTCTCTAATAATACAGTGCTTGTTGATCTTATATCTACATTGTCACATTAATAAGAGAACTTTAGTTACATTTTCCTGACACACCGACCATTAATTGAGATGCAGACTTGAACCTATTGAAGTCTATGCTGGTCTTCTAGTAGATTGGTCTTTAATCTAGACAGACGGAAAATTGCTCTTCTAAATCAATGGATTGGTGTAAGTTGGATTTTATTTTAGATTTATAGCTTGGTTTTGTTAACAGTTTTTTTTTATTATCTAACTTCATCTGTCTATAGGTAGTTATCAGAGTTTTGAGATGATTTTTGGTTTGACTTATTTAGATTATGAATATTTAGAGAATCTTGTATATGTTTTTGGTTTATCAAGTTGATAGTGTAAAGTCTGGGACTCTGCAGCTGATGAGTTTAACTTTACTTTAAGATTTTATTTTTAACCCAGTGATCAAAAAAATCCACAAAAAAATAAATTGGAAGTCTGTCATTATGACATTTCAAAAGTAAGTTGAAGCCGAATCAGTAAATTTACCAAAGAATTAATGTAACTTGTGAAATATATTATTGGGTGGTAATTTTCAATGATTGGTAGAATTGTTTGTTGGTGGAAGATCAAATTCTCAAAATTAGATTTTAATTTTTGTAGGTTCTGAATTCTATTTAGAGTATTTACAAAGTTACAAGTCTCTTTGGTTAAGGTTACTAGATTTTGCTTCTGTTGAGCAACTCTAATTGCTAGTATTTTTTTTTTTCAGGTTTTATTCTTCTGTTGGTAGGACCCCCCACTTCAAAAATATCCCCTGAACATATTACTTATGTTTTGTTTGTATAATTTCAGATGGAATCGACGTTTCACCAAGTCCTTCTATTTGTAAGTACATTTTGTTTTTATACAGTTTTTATTAGTATTTCATGCCATTCTTGTAAAAATAAAAAAAAATTATTCATATATCTATTGCTACCAATAAACATTTGTTTGGTTTGTGGGTTACTAGTGTTAGACAATATGTCGAATGAAACTGATTTTGAAAAAGTGACTTCTATTAGACAAAATAACATAAAGAAAAGAAATTATATGATTTTCAAAATAATTGATTTTCCCAAAAAATTAATTTCTAAAATATACTATATACAGCAAAAAAAATATTTAAACAAGTTTTTCATTCGATCAGCTATATTATATACTAAACAGCAAAAAAAAAACTGTCAGTACGATTTCAAAATCAGAGAGGCAAATCTTTCTAGAAAATGACTTACTAAATGGATCAAAGCAATTTTTTGTGAACAGTATGTTGACACATTAGTGTTTAATTCATCACAATTCCAAGACATTACGAGAAGGTTTAGAATCTGTACACAGTCTATACATCAGTATCTAATGTGTCCACCGCGAGTGTCAATAACAGCAGCGCAGCATCTGTACATGGCGCAATCCATCGACTGTCCGGACTAAGGGCTGGCCAGTGCATAACGTTGACACCGTTCTGCTGTAGAAAGTCCCGAGTAACTCTGGCCGCACTGCTGTGATGTCGCCTCCACTCCCTGGACCAAGATTTTGGAACACCACAGACCCACTCTCTGGTTCAGGCCGATTCCACCCCAAACCATTATGCTTGGACCTCCCCATGAGTCTCGTTCCATGACACATTGGTCAGAATAACGCTGGCCACGTCAACGCCATATTCTGGTCCTGCCATCTGCAGTTGATAATACGCAATACTGACTCGCATCTGTAAACAGAACAGTTCTTCAATGGCTGTGTCGCCAGTTCTGGTGTTATTGGGCAAACTGTAGACGTTCACGTCAATGGCGAGGGGTGAGGATCAGTCCACGGTAATGTCTACGGCAATGGATGTTCTCTCTGGTGAGACGTCCGCACACTGTATCAGTACTGATGGATCTTCCGTGTATTCCTACTGTCTGACGTGCTGTCTCAGATGCCTGTGTGAAGGGATTCTGCACAATTGTGGTAACTCTTGGTCTACCAGTTCAGGGGCTATCATCTGTGGTGTTGATGGCCCGAAAGCGTTGCTGAAGCCTGTAGATGGTCCAAACATTGACCTGGAAGTGATAGGCATGCTGTTGACATTGTAGTGTGAATGATTCAACCAGGTATGGGGGTACATTTTATAGGGCTGGTCCCGGTGAACAGCATGTGCAGCATGAGTTACGTGAAAATCATGGAGAACACATTACCATCTCAGAAGTCAGGTTGCGTTTTTGAGAACATTTCTGGGGTTCATTTCTTTTGCCGCTTAGTATATTTTGAAAAATTGAAAGAGTTACATAAAATTTCAATATCAGTTATTGTCCCCCGCCTTTCGAAGAAAGCAGGGGACTATTAAAATGGGTTCGTCAGTCTGTCTGTCTGTCCGTCACACTTTTTGGAACACAATAACTCTCTTTCTAATTGAGGTAGAATGTTCAAACTTGGTGTAGGTGTGTGTTAGGTCAATGCCTTGATGGAGTTCGAAGATGAGTATTTTCTGCTTAGGGTACACAGAGATTAGCAATTTGATTGGTGAGAGTGGTGAAACTTGGTGTATAGTTTCATTACATCAATACCTTGAACATTTTCTGCTGAGGGTAAGCAGAGTGATAAGCAATTTGATTGGTCAAGACTTTGGAACACAATAACTCTCCTTCTATTTGAGGTAGAATGTTCAAACTTGGTGTAGGCATTCATTAGGTGAATCCCTTGATGGAGTTCGATGATGAACATTGTCTGCTTACAGTAGGCAGAGATAAGCAATCTGATTGGTTGATGCTTTAGGGGCACGATAACTTTGATTATAATGAAGTGAGAGCGATGAAACTCTGAATATAGATTCATCATGTCATTACCTTGACTAAGTTCGATTGTGTGAATTTTCTGCCTGGGCTATGGAGCGATAATCAATTTGATTGGTCAAGACTTTGGAACATAAAAACTCTGCTTTTAATTGAGGTAGAATGTTTAACCCTTTCACTGCGTATACCCGGTAGTACCGGGTATTATAAAATGTCGGTAAAATGCGCGTACCCGGTATTACCGTGTACTCAGTAAAGCCCTCGCTTAAATTAGTACCGTTACTGCAAGTGCCATATATTGTATTTTCTATACACTAGAACATATTTCCATGTGTTTCAAAGCGGCAAACCGTAAACTGGCGGAGTGCATAGTGACAACGTAGACGATGCACTCTCGACGAAGTCGTGAATGACGTCTTGCTGACCAACACGTGGACAATTTCGAGGCGGGTGATACACATAATTCGTTTCCAGTTACTTGATAATGATAGTAGTCAGGACAGTAATTGGTATTATGAAGTGTGTGATTTGTTGCGCGACGTTCCGCCCATAGCTAGCTATGTCTCCCGTGCATGATGAACAAGCCCAATGTTAACACGATGATAGCCCTGTGTCTGCAGTAGATTCTGACAATAATTCTGATGTTGATAATAATGCTGGCCTGCTGGATCGTAAAAGACGTAGGCAATTCCTGAGTCCCGAACGTGTAGATCTATTGACTGACTATATTGATAATGATATGAGACTTAGGGATGAAAGTGAAAGTAAAAACAAGGTATTGCAATCCACACGTGGTCATGGCAGCGGGAGACGTGATGCGCATGTTCGTGGTGGCATTGCTCATGGCTGCTATTGATATTTTTGTTCATTTTATATATCTTTATCAAAATCCAGTGAAAAAAACAATATCTTTTAAGTATTTCATGGAGAAAAATTCGTTTTCGTGTTAGCTTTAGTGAGAAATGAGAAATCCAAAATGGCCGCCATGACGTCACGTGACTACATTATTATGCAAATTTCCAAAATTTTATTTTTTCCTCTTAGCCAAACCTCATGCCCATCCCAACAGACAAAAAGATTTTTCATAAAAGCTTCCATTAGTACTGCTTGGCATTCAGTTCCAACCTCCCTTTTATCCTCAAAAAAGGGTCTAGCACAGGCAGTGGATTTACGTCTAGCATTGAAAGGGTTAAACCTGATGTAGATGTTTATTAGGTGAATGTCTTGACTGATTTCAATGATTAACATTTCAAGCTAAAGCTAAGCAGAGCTAATCAAATTCATTGGTCAATGCTTTGGGACAAGATAATCTTGATTCTATCTGATAGAGAGTGATGAAACTTAGTGTGTAGTTTGATTGCGCGATACTTTTGAAAAAAATAAATGTGCGATTAATTAATATGTGTCATCTATTTATTTTGGGATTTCGGCAGGGGACATCAGCCTCACTGTTGGCTTGTTTCAATTAGTGATGGGTACAAGCACTGTACAATTAAATTTCAAAATATTATGCGGAAGTTGTCTTACATTAGAGTGGCCCACAGACTCAATTATCTGTACTATATAAACTGACCTGTTTTAACAGCATGTTGTCAAAACTTTGTTTATGAGAAAAGTGCTCTCACGGGCTCGCTCGTGCACTGTAAGCAGCAAACAGTCGCCCAAAATAGACATTCACGTGACAATATTCATTCACTTATTTATCAATGAAGCCATGTAAAAAATTATTCTTTACTCGTTGGGCTTTTAAAAATAAGTAGTTACGAACTAGATTAAAATTTTGGCTAAAACTCGGCGATTAAATTTTTAAGTTAGTTGATTGTAACCAATGACGTATATATTGTAACGGTTCTCGGTTCAGAGTCAACTCATGTTGTTTCGCCCTTTTTCTATCTTTTAAGTCCACTCCCGTGGCAACATACCGACACTGCAAGACTGAAAGTTACTTTAATTTAACCGTAAAACTCTGTTGTTAGTGGGCGCTTTAGTTACTTTAGAAGTTACATTGTTGCTAGCTCTAAATACGCAGAAAAAATTTGAGACTGGAAATTAATTGAACGAAATTATTTTACCAAGTCTTGATTAACCAGACATGTATGATTAAAATAAAATTACAGTACTGGTCACAAAACTCGGATTCTAATTATTTTAGGGCGCTGCGAATTTGGCCTCCGGTTTTGTGTCAAATTTAATAGGAGGATGTGCCATTATGGCTATGCCATTCGTGTTTAGTATCCTTATGCATTTGCCATTTCTAACATGGTGGTTACAAAACGTTTCAGTTATTATAAATCCAGCAACAACTCATTTTTCTAGAACTGAAATATAACCAAAAAGACGCGCATTGACTGTTTCATAATTATTAAAAATATGAAAACGCGACATGATGCGTAAATTGGGCGTCTTACTTTCGAGAACAATAGCTATAAAACAGAAATTTCCAGATTGATACATAATACGACGCGGGGACTATTAAAATGGGTTCGTCCGTCTGTCTGTCTGTCTGTCCGTCTGTCTGTCCGTCTGTCTGTCTGTCTGTCCGTCACACTTTTTGGGACACAATAACTCTCTTCCTAATTGAGCTAGAATGTTCAAACTTGGTGTATGTGTTTATTAGGTCAATGCCTTGATGGAGTTCGAAGATGAGCATTTTCCGCTTAGGGTAAGCAGAGATAAGCAATTTGATTGGTTGATGCTTTGGGACACGATAACTCTCTTCCTAATTAGGCTAGAATGTTCAAACTTGGTGTATGTGTTGATTAGGTCAATGCCTTGATGGAGTTCGAAGATGAGCATTTTCCGCTTAGGGTAAGCAGAGATAAGCAATTTGATTGGTTGATGCTTTGGGACACGATAACTTTTAATTGAGCTAGAATGTTCAAACTTGGTGTATGTGTTTATTAGGTCAATGCCTTGATGGAGTTCGAAGATGAGCATTTTCCGCTTAGGGTAAGCCGAGATAAGCAATTTGATTGGTTGATACTTTGGGGCACGATAACTCTCTTCCTAATTGAGCTAGAATGTTCAAACTTGGTGTATGTGTTGATTAGGTCAATGCCTTGATGGAGTTCGAAGATGAGCATTTTCCGCTTAGGGTAAGCAGAGATAAGCAATTTGATTGGTTGATGCTTTGGGACCTGATAACTTTAGTTCTAATTAAAAGGGAGAGTGAGGACACTTGGTGTATAGCTTTATTATATCAATACCTTGACTAAGTCTCGATAATGAGCATTTTCTGCTTAGGGTAAGCAGAGCGATAAGCAATTTGATTGGCCGAGACTTTGGAACACATTAACTCCTTTTCTAATTGAGCTAGAATGTTCAAACTTGGTGTAGGTGTTTATTAGGTTAATGTCTTGATGGAGTTCGAAGATGAGCATTTTGTGCTTAGGTTAAGCAGAGATAAGCAATTTGATTGGTCGAGACTTTAGAACACAATAACTCTCATTCTAGTTGAGTTAGAATGTTCACACTTGGCATAGGTGGCTATTAGGTGAATGCCTTGATGGAGTGTGAAGATGATAATTTTTTGCTTAGAGTAAGCAGGGATAAGCAATTTGATTGGTTGATGCTTTGGGACACGATAACTTTAGTTCTAATTAAGTGAGAGTGAGGACACTTGGTGTATAGCTTTATTATATCATTACCTTGACTAAGTTTGATAATGAGTATTTTCTGCTGTCATGTCATGGCTGAGTTCAATTATTAACATTGGTCGATGCTTTGGGACAAGATAACTTTGATTCTATCTGATAGAGAGTGCTGAAACTTAGTGTATAATTTGATTGCTCGATACTTTTGAAAAAAATAAATGTGCGATTAATTAATGTGTCATCTATTTATTTTGGGATTTCGGCGGGGGACATCAGCCTCACTGTTGGCTTGTTGGATTTTTGTTATTTGCACGAACCACTCTACTTACATAGTTTGGAATTTGCCTATTCAAATGAGTTCATCTGTCTGTGAGACAGTTTGGAGTACTATGTGATATCAATGCATCTAGGAGCTAGACCAAATACTAAAAAAATCAATGCATCGAGAAGCTAGACCAAAAACTATAAAAACTCTTTTATGGGTTGCAACACTTGTTAAGATTGCAAACAAAATGCCAGGTGCACAAATATATCATTGTTCTGACATACCACTCTGCCGTGTTGGAGATATGCCTCAGATAAACTAATCTACAGAGTACAGAATGACATCTCTACAATAAGGGTAAACTCTATTGTCATTTAACAAATATATTTTAGTTTGGTCACTCTATTTGTTTAAATATTGTAATGTTGCACATTATTCATGCTGCTATCATGCACTAATTTGGATTGAACCAGTTGACTTAATTATGATTGATTGTTTTTCAGCTGATAATGATCTACAGCCGGTTACATACAAGGAACCTGACTTCTGGTGTTCTATAGCCTATTATGAACTAAACACTCGAGTTGGAGAGACTTTCCATGCTTCACAACCATCTCTCACAGTGGATGGCTTTACAGATCCCTCCAATTCTGAGAGATTCTGTCTGGGACTACTGTCTAATGTCAACAGAACTCAACAAGTAGAAATGACCAGACGACATATAGGTATACATACATATTTTATTTTCTGGTAATTCTCCTCGGAATTGAGATCGTATGTATATGAAACATATATATTCTACATTGATATCATTATAATTCTAATCTTTACATTGATCAAACTGGACTAGTTTGTATTTATTTGAATATTTTGCAGGTAAAGGAGTTAGATTGTATTATATTGGTGGAGAAGTGTTTGCAGAGTGTTTGAGTGAAAATGCTGTTTTTGTCCAGAGTCCCAACTGCAATCAAAGATATGGATGGCATCCTGCTACAGTGTGTAAGATACCTCCAGGTAGGAAACATGCTCAGTTTACTGATTCATGGGAGATAATCCATTTTGAGTATGACTTCTAGAATATGTACTGATTATGTACATGTTAAAGAATCATGAAACATGTACTCTATCAATGTCAGTCTACAACATACAATTTTTATGCTACATTATTATATTTACTTTGTTTGTATTGCTACCCAATTTCAGCTGGGTATGAATACAGGAATTAGGTGATCATGTATTACAAATCTTAGTAGCTGTTATAGTATTACATTGATACAAGGTTGTTTGTGATATATAAGTTGAGATATTGATATACATACTGATTGTTTTAAAATATTACAGGATGTAATTTGAAGATATTTAACAACCAGGAATTTGCTGCCTTGTTGGCTCAATCAGTAAATCAAGGTTTTGAGTCAGTTTATCAGTTAACTCGTATGTGTACTATTAGAATGAGTTTTGTGAAAGGATGGGGAGCCGAGTACAGGTAAACCTTAAGTCTTTTAAAACAAGCAATACAAATTTGTTTTGTGGAGAATATCTGAAGTCCACTGACCAAGTAAGAAAACATGATTGATTTAAAACTTTTTCATCTTTATATAAAGTGGATTATGACATCAAACTAACACCATAACTTAGAATCAAAAGAAACACCAGCACTGAATAGGGAAAAAACCCACTTTCATTGGGAAGTTGATAAATCTTTAACGTAAAGTTAAAATGTCCCTCCAGCTTAAAGTATTATGGCCTTCTTGTTTTACGAGAAACTCTATTTAACGTATGTACATTATCTTTTAAGTATGTATTTCTTAGGTAATTGTAATTCTGTTGTATTATATATTACAGACGCCAGACAGTAACTAGTACGCCATGTTGGATTGAGATTCATTTAAACGGACCGTTACAGTGGTTGGATCGTGTTTTAACTCAAATGGGTTCCCCTGGTTTACCATGTTCGAGCATGTCTTAAATTATCGGAGTGGATGACAAAAAAAAACAAACATCAACATCTTTCAGATTTGTTGCTAAAGAAAACTGCAGGCTGTATAGATAACTTGTGACCTCAACTTTTTTCATATTTAAATAAACAGTTCTCGTTCTGATCGATGTCATTATTCTTTTCCTTGGTTTAATTTGAATGGTTATGATGCACGATCTGTCTTAACGTGTTAATATACTTTTTATATAACCAGCTTATATGTTCTGCTTATATATACTCTGGTTTTATCTTATATAATGTGAAAACTACAAACAGAATGAAGAAATATGTTATTACAGTAGTATAACAGACGTTTTACTAATCAACATTTAAAAAATGGTTTCTAACTATGTGCGGAAGTCGTTATGTGAACTTCTATATCTTGAAGAATAGTTTCTACATTTTTGGTGTTAAAATTTTCAAATATCAAGGGAGTGAAGAAAGAAGATATCTTGTTGAAAGAATTCAAGAGAAATCAAGACTGGGGGAATATTATCCATGCTTTCTTCTATTTGATTATTTTTAATGATTTCATTTTTGACCTAACACAGTGCTATAATTGTTGTGAAAATGTAGTTTTAACATTTTAGATTTTAGAAAGTGTAGTATATAGTTAGCACTAGGATTGGTTTCATTGTTGCTTGCTGGTAATGGAAATTTCTTTCTAAGCATGTATTATTTTAGCATAGTTGCTAGTAATATATCTTCTTTTTCTACTTCACTCTCAAATTAATGCATGCTTAGATTGTAAAATTTGCATATGTATATCATTCATTGATGTTAATTTTCATATAGAAATAACAAAGTCTGTCCAGTGACTGTTCACTTTTGCTTTGTCCTGATTATGAAAGTCTGTGGACTTAATATTTCTATTAGGCATAAATTAATGATGTCTGTTGCAAGCATCTTTAAAAATCAAGATTTTAGTATACATTTTATATGAATCTAGATAAATTATACATTTAAAAATCAAGCTTTTAGTATGCATTTTATACAAATCTTGGGAAATGATACAGTTAAAAAAAAAAGGATCATTTTACTGTTGATATTATATAGTTAATTAACATTGTTACTTGTATTTTACCTACATAAATATTATCTTAATGAAATAACCAACAATAATTTTATATGGAACCTTAATTATTGCTCATAAAATCATCCACATAAAGATTAAGCCCTGTTTGTTGTTCTGTTCAATAATATAGAACATTTGGAGCTCGAGAAAATATTCTTATGCCATGATGATACAGGACCGCAGTTTGGTTATAATTCAATGAAAAATATATCCAAATTAGGAAGGAAATAATATTCTCAGAAACATCAATAAGTCTTGAGTAATATTGATTTAATTTGTTGATCTCTGTGGGTTACTGGTCCGAGGAATCAATTACAAGACTAAAAAAAAAAAAAAAATTGTTTTGACAAAACAAAGAAATAAGAGTAGTGTACGATTGCTGGTTTGCAGTTACCTAGAAATTTTATTATTTAATGTTGAAATTTGACTAAAATAGGTTTTATGGCTCAAATTTGACTAAAATTAGGTTATATGGTTCAGTACATTTTTAGATTAAAAAGAAATCTGAATCATGGTCTCACGAAAACAATTTGTAAGAATTCTCTGGGGGATAGTTGAATAATAATAGAATTCAAGAGAAATGTTCATTGTTTTAGAGATTTTAAGCTTTCCTATTATAGAATTAGAATTTACATAATGTACTGTCTTATATTGTATAACTTGTATTATTAAGGCACACATAGCATTTTATATTGACTGAGATTCCGGTGTTTCTCATCAATAAGCCAAAGATAGCCACTTAATTCTAGCATGACACACAAAATCTTGTGTAAACAAAGTCAAGCCAAGAATATCATATAAATTCAGCAAAAAAACCTTAATATTGTTGATGTCTGTTTGAATTATATTTTTAAAAGAATGGTTGTAGAAAAATAATGCTCTGTGTGCCTCTTTTTGTTTCATGTTTTGCTTATTGTTATTAGAATTCATGGAAATGTTCTTGTTTTATCATAGTTAATACATACACATATGAAATATCAGCCTTGTAGAATAGTAGGAATATATTTAAACTACAATCACTGGCTTCACTTGTTGTCATATTTTTAATGGATTGATATTGCTTTACCGGTGATGTATAGGGGTTGTAATAATAATGTGTGAAAGGGAGATTTTTATACTGTATGTGTTTGAAGAGAGAAAGATATTGAATTGGTACTAATGTATCCTGTATAAACACGTATTATATATATATATATATATATATATATATATATATATATATATGTAAAATGTACATACATTTACTATATATGCTTGTCTTATCTATATATTAATGTTTACTTTGCTAGACTGTACTTGCTTGGAGCTTTTTTTTTTTATTACAGGAATAGAAATAACATTTTACACATATTGCTTGTTTTAATGTTCATTATTATTTATAGCAAAACTAGGCAAGGGATTTAACACTCTCATTGAAATTGATGTGAGGAACGAAAGTAATTTTTATTGGATGTACATGTAAGATGTTGGATATTAATAATAATGTTCATTTAAGTAGCCTTATGTCATCAGTTATTGATCTAAATTCTTCAGCTATCTCTGGAATTTTCCAAGCTGAGATTATTTGTACTCTAGTCACCTCTGGCATTTTTTTCCAATAACCAATTTCTTTCCAGTAAATGTCAAAATCCTCCTCCAGCTAACTAAAACAATAAACAGAAAGTCTGGGTATTTCACTAGTTCTACTATACATGTATTTCAGTGATGAAAAAAGTTTATATCAATATAATTTGCTGAGTTTCTCGTACTTTTTGCCTCTCAAAACATTGAAGTGATGTTCATCAAAGAAAAGATTTTTTATCATAATTTTCAGCTAGTTAATTAGTTTAAAATGTAATTTCTTTAAATAAAACCCTATACTACACATAGAAATATTATTTTTGACATGACTGCTTTCAGTATTTCGAATATAGTTCATTTTATTTTACAAGCAAAAAATTTTATTAACATAGGTTACATTTATACTTCAAAAAAGGACATTTATACTTCAAAAAAGGACAAAGTTCATTAAATTTATGTCTTTCTATCATAGACTTAATTATCAAAAATCGAAGCACAGAAGATCAGTACATAATAGGTGGTAATCTTTCTAAACATGTCAGCCCCAAAAAAGTTGGATAATTTTGGCCAAATTTTAAGTTTCTTTACGGGATCAGGTATGTTAATAAGAAATTTGTATTGATTATCATGTAAAATAAAGTAGAAAAGTATGTCAGAACTTGCAGGTTTTTACACAAATAATTAGTTTATTTTCCTTACCCTATCCAAAAAGGGAAAAAAAGCTCAATAGCATCTTAATTTAGCATTTATGTTTTGCTTTTATCATATTTGGTGGTATAAGAGTCTTAGTGAAAATAAAATAAGATTGTGTAAAATAAAGGGTTTTGAGTTGTTTTGTTTCATTTTGTAGTCTTAATATACAAATTAACACCTATTGATATTACATGTTTTAAATCCATTATCAAACAATTCATTAGATCCAGGATACAAAAATAGGTCACATAGGATACAGTGCTAACATTACACACCCAAAAGGCTGGTCAAATCAATTTAACTGCTTTTTAAAGAATATGCCCTACCAAATACAAACCATGTGGTTTAATGATATATTTGGACTAGACATTCAAACTAATTTATCTATCAAAGGTTTCCTTCAAATTCCTTTAAAACATTAAGCCAACAGTGCGGCTGATGTCCCCCGCCGAAAACCACCCCAAAGAAACAGATGACACATTAATTAAATGCACATTTATCTTTTTCAAAAGTATCGAGTAATCAGACTGATTATCTTTGCTTAGTCTAAGCATAAAATGTTCACTATCAAACTCTGGTTTTGCAGTACCTGGTATATATGGCGGGGTATCGGGTTCAAAATGCAATCTAGAGTAAAAAGCAGAAAGTCAACAGTAAAAAGTAGAAAATCTAAAGTAAACGGGAAAATTCTTATCTAAAAGGGTATTTTTATGGTGAAAACCTATAAATTTATGCACTTAGTCTGCAGAAACATCAAGCTTTTCAACTCTCATGGACATAATTTCTACTTTCTACTATCAACTTTTGACTTTCGACTTTCCGCTTTCTACTTTCTACTGTTAACTTTTAACTCTCGATTTTCCACTTCAGATGATCTACTCACGATTTTCTAACGCAGATTTTCTCCAATACTATGGTGGCTGATAGTGGCCATGTAATTTTTCGCCATTTTCATAACCCGTCAACACGACATAACGACAGTATTAGTGAGAGCATACGACCGAGCGGAATCTCTCACCCGTATTCCAGCACCCGGATTCGAGATCTAGTTAGCAGACATATATTCTCTAACCGTATTCCAGCACCCGGATTCGAGATCAAGTTAGCAGATATATTCTCTCACCGTATTCCAGCACGCGGATTCGAGATCAAATTAGCAGACATAATATTCTTTCACCGTATTCCAGCACCCGCATTCGAGATCAAGTTAGCAGACATATTCTCCCGCCGTATTCCATTTTCAGCACTCGGATTCGAGATCAAGTAAGCGCACGTATTCCTAGCGCCAAGAAAAACCTAGATATAATTATCACGAAAATAATTGTTACCTTTATTTTAGAAAATAAAATTTTAAAACATATTAATGCAAAATATTATGTAATAGATCCCCCGATCCCACCCCCAAAATGTACTATTACCGTAAACATACTAAAATATCGCACACTAGGCTAACTGAGCATGCAAAAAAGGGGTACGTCCATTTTGCATCAAAAAATACCCCAACCAGCTTTGGTGGGAAAATGTTTTTTGTTTCACGGAATCAAGAGATGAATAAACTACTAGAATACAAAATTTCAGAAGGCTCCTATGCTGGCGTTTCGAGATATATTACCGTAAACATATGGGGGAATCGGGTTGAGGTAGGCTGACTGCGCACGTATTAACTTCTAAACTAGCTTTGGTGGCTTCAAAATCTTTATTTCACCAACTAGACAGGTGCATAAGGCATGAACATGCCAAATTTCAATAACTTTCTATGTTGGCCTATCGAGTTATACCACCGCAAAGTTCCTAGCACCCGGATTCGAGGTGGAGTTTGTGGGTTCAATAAACAACGAGCACGCCCACGTTGCGTCAAAAAACGACCCAAACCAGCTTTGGGGGGGAAATGTTTTTTATTTCACCGAATCAAGGGATGAATAAACTACTAGAATACAAAATTTAAGAAGGTTCCTATGCTGGCGTTTCGAGATATATTACAGTAAACATACTAAACATATTGGAGAATCGGGTTAGGGTAGGCTCACTACGCACGTTATAACTTCTAAACTAGCATTGGTAGCTTCAATATTTTTATTTCACCAACTGGACAGTTGCATAGGCCATGAACATACCAAATTTCATTAACTTTCAATATTGGCGTATCGAGTTATACCACCGCAAATTTCCTAGCACCCGGATTCGAGGCGGAGTTTGTGGGTTCAATAAACAACGGGTAGACCCACGCTGCATCAAAAAACGACCCAAACCAGCTTTGGTGGGAAAATGTTTTTTATTTCATGGAATCAAGGGATGAATAAACTATTAGAATACAAAATTTCAGAAGCGTTTCGAGATATATTACCGTAAACATATTGGAGAATCGGGTTAGGGTAGGCTAACTGCGCACGCAATAACTTCTAAACTAGCTTTGGTGGCTTCAATTTTTTTTTCTCCACTAAATCGACAGATGAATAAGGTATGTACATGCCGAATTTCATTAAGTTTCTATGTTGGCGTTTCCAGTTATACCACCGCAAATTTTCTAGCACCCGGATTCGAGGCGGAGTTTGTGGGTTCAATAAACAACGGGTACACCCACGCTGCATCAAAAAACGACCCAAACCAGCTTTGGTGGGAAAATGTTTTTTATTTCATGGAATCAAGGGATGAATAAACTATTAGAATACAAAATTTCAGAAGGTTCCTATGCTGGCGTTTCGAGATATATTACCGTAAACATACTAAACATATTGGGGAATCGGCTTGGGGTAGGCTGACTGCGCACGCAATAACTTCTAAACTAGCTTTGGTGGCTTCAATATTTTTTTTTCACTAACTCGACAGATGAATAAGGTATGTACATGCCGAATTTCATTAACTTTCTATGTTGGCGTATCGAGTTATACCACCGCAAAGTTCCTAGCACCCGGATTCGAGGTGGAGTTTGTGGGTTCAATAAACAAGGGGTACGCCCACGCTGCATCAAAAAACGACCCAAACCAGCTTTGGTGGGAAAATGTTTTTTATTTCACGAAATCTAGGGATGAATAAACTATTAGAATACAAAATTTCAAAAGGCTCCTATGTTGCCGTTTCGGATATATTACCGTAAACATACTAAACATATGGGGGAATCGGCTTGGGGTAGGCTGACTGCACACGCAATAACTTCTAAACTAGCTTTGGTGGCTTCAATATTTTTTTTTCACTAACTCGACAGATGAAAATGGTATGTACATGCCGAATTTCATTAAGTTTCTATGTTGGCGTATCGAGTTATACCACCGCAAAGTTCCTAGCACCCGGATTCGAGGTGGAGTTTGTGGGTTCAATAAACAACGGGTACGCCCACGTTGCATCAAAAAACGACCCAAACAAGCTTTGGTGGGAAAATGTTTTTTATTTCACGGAATCAAGGGATGAATAAACCACTAGAATAGAAAATTTCAGAAGGTTCCTATGCTGGCGTTTCGAGATATATTACCGTTAACATACTAAACATATTGGAGAATCGGGTTAGGGTAGGCTAACTGCGCACGCAATAACTTCTAAACTAGCTTTGGTGGCTTCAATATTTTTTCCCCACTAAATCGACAGATGAATGAGGTATGTACATGCCGAATGTCATTAACTTTCTATGTTGACGTATCGAGTTATACAACCGCAAAGTTCCTAGCACACGGATTCGAGGCGGAGTTTGTGGGTTCAATAAACAACGGGTACGCCCACGTTGCATCAAAAAACGACCCAAACCAGCTTTGGTGGGAAAATGTTTTTTATTTCACGGAATCAAGGGATGAATAAACTCGATACGCCAGCAAAGAAAGTTAATGAAATTCGGCATGTGCATACCTTATTCATCTGTCGATTTAGTGAAATAAAGATATTGAAGCCACCAAAGCTATTTTAGAAGTTATTGCCTGCGCAGTCTGCCTACCCTAACCCGATTCTCCAATATGTTTAGCATGTTTACGGTAATATATCTCGAAACGCCAGCAAAGGAACCTTTTGAAATTATGTATTCTAGTAGTTTATTCATTCTTGATTCCGTGAAATAAAAAAACATTTTACCACCAAAGCTGGTTTGGGTCGTTTTTGACGCAGCGTGGGCGTGCCCGTTGTTTATTGAACCAACAAACTCCACCTCGAATCCGGGTGCTAGGAACTTTGCGGTGGTATAACTCGATACGCCAACATAGAAAGTTAATGAAATTCGGCATGTGCATACCTTATTCATCTGTCGATTTAGTGAAGTAAAGATATTGAGGCCACCACAGCTAGTTTAGAAGTTATTACGTGCGTAGTGAGCCTACCCTAACCTGATTCTCCCCATATGTTTAGTATGTTTACGGTAATATATCTCGAAACGCCAGCATAGGAACCTTCTGAAATTTTATATTCTAGTGGTTTATTCATCCCTTGATTCCGTGAAATAAAAAACATTTCCCCACCGAAGCTTGTTTGGGTCGTTTTTTGATGCAACGTCGGCGTACCCGTTGTTTATTGAACCCACAAACTCCACCTCGAATCCGGGTGCTAGGAACTTTGCGGTGGTATAACTCGATACGCCAACATAGAAAGTTAATGAAATTTGGCATGTTCATGGCCTATTCAACTGTCCAGTTGGTGAAATAAAAATATTGAAGCCACCAAAGCTAGTTTAGAAGTTATTGCGTGCGCAGTCGGCCTACCCTAATCCGATTCTCCAATATATTTAGTATGTTTTCGGTAATATATCTCGAAACGCCAGCATAGGAACCTTCTGAAATTTTGTATTCTAATAGTTTATTCATCCCTTGATTCCGTGAAATAAAAAACATTTTCCCACCAAAGCTGGTTTGGGTCGTTTTTTGATGCAGTGTGGGTGTACCCGTTGTTTATTGAACCCACAAACTCCGCCTCGAATCCGGGTGCTAGGAACTTTGCGGTGGTATAACTCGATACGCCAACATAGAAAGTTAATTAAATTTGGCATGTTCATGGCCTATGCAACTGTTCAGTTGGTGAAATAAAAATATTGAAGCCACCAAAGCTAGTTTAGAAGTTATTGCGTGCGCAATTAGCCTACCCTAACCCGATTCTCAAATATGTTTAGTATGTTTACGGTAATATATCTCGAAACGCCAGCATAGGAACCTTCTGAA